TTATATTTCTATGTGTACTAAAGCCTTTTGTCAGAAGAATTACACTGCTGTTGTGAAATACAATTAATTTAAAGTCACGATAATTATCAGATGTTATTAAGTAAAATGAGTCTAAACTGATTTTACATCTGAAATTATTTCTAGTACATGTGCGTGTGTGTGTGTGTGTGTGCTTACATTGAGCAATTGAGTATGCCCCTATCACTTTGATCTGATTATATTCCTTTGTTTACTAAAGCCTTTTGTCAGAAGACTTCCAGGCTAAGGGCTCAGGTGCGTGTGTGTGTGTGTGTGTACAAATCCTAATATTTTTATTGTATTAATGATAATAAGGTAGTATTGATAAAGTATTAGGTCATATGGGCTTGGTTCTGTGTATTCCTCTAGTGTGGGTGGGTAATTTATTTTAACATCAAAACAGTTGTGCAAGCAGTTCTTTGGAATTTGTTTAGAACTCCAATATGTGTCGAAGTGATTTCTTTAACATATTGCACTCAACTTTAAGACCATCTTTATACATGTACATGTACTATCTGATGATAGTTAACTGATAAGAAATGCCAAATATAGAGTCTTTAATGTCTTAATATGATACTGTATTTATTGTTTATGTGTTCCCTAGATATACAGGATGTGGTAGCCTGTCCTCATTGTGGCTTTTCCTCCTAATCTCTAACATATATACATGTACACTCGGCACTGTATTGTATCTACATGCTCGGCACTGTATTGTATCTAATTTTACATGTACACTTGTGTGTCCTACAATCTACATTCGTGTATACGTAATGTATACACTGTATTGTATGTGCCTTACATGTATAGTATCATTACATGTATGGTTATATGATATAATATTGTAGTATGATTACATAGGGCAGTGAATTCACAAAATCATGTAGATCCTATAATCGGATCTGCATGATCATGTGGATCCACCACCCTATGTGATGTAGTAGTATTTCCTTATTTGCTCTGTCCTAGCTTCCTTCCTTACTCTCTCTCTCTCTCTCTCTCTCTCTCTTACTATTCTCTCATGCTCTGATATTTACATGATGATTTGTTTACATTGTCTATGATTATCCAACCATTCTATTCAATATTGTAATCCAATACTATTGCTCCTGCAAGGGTACTACTGCATGTATTGCAAACAAATGCCATATAATTACGTTTCCGTACATTTGTGATGGTGATTTTTTGCTGGTGATTTTTGCATTCAATCACAAAGTGTTGCATGTAAGCACCATGCTATTACCTCAGTATGTTGTTCTGTAAATATTCACCAATGTTGGTGTGGAAGTGTTGCAGGCTGCCAGCAGAAATTGTACCCTATTAATAAGTCATTATGTTTATCAACTTCAATTATAATAGGTATGCGTTCACACTTCCAATGAGAATTTTTCATTGATTAGCTGCGTGAATGAGGTGTGGTCGTCATGTTTGGTAATAGCAATTACATCACATTCACGCTAGTGGATGACTTGTTAATTGCCGGTAGTTGTGATCATCGGGTAGGAATAAAGTCAGGATGAAAGTTCTCCTAGGGACATCTTAGGTACTTGTAGGGGCTAGAAAGCTATAGATGGGGAGCAGCTTAGACAAAGTTAATTGAGAGTGGTATGTCATGAATATCATTATAACCATTACTTCAGTGTTGTACCTCTCCTAACTTCCTTGTATTCAAAAAATCACCACATGTGTGAGTTCATGATGAAAAGCTGGATTGCAATTTACCTTGAAAAGTGACTAAAGTCTTTAGCTATGCACTAGTTTTTGTATAAAAGCAGAGCTTGGCCAGTGACAGTCATCAACAAAGC